TTTATTCATATCCCCCCCAATCCATTTGTGAAAATATTATTGGCGTCAACTCATTTACCCTTGAGCACAGCTTGCCACAAGGTAATAAAATACCCTCTTAAGCATGGTACTCTAAAGATAATGGAAAAACAAGCAAACATGACTATTTTCGAGTATATAATCTCGTTCACATATGTGTATGTTTATTTTGATAAAAATGCACAGAAGAAAGTGCATGAGGTTAAACAATGGTTCTTTCTAAAGTTGAGATTAGTTGACATTGGTCATGTGCTATGGTTTGAATGGGTCCCCCAAAAGTGAATGTGTTGGAAACATAATCTCCAAATTTACAAGTTCACAGACTTTGGAGGTGAGGTGTTTGGGAGGTGATTAGGGTTAGATGAAGTCATGAGAGTGGGGACCCCATGGTAGCATTGGTGGCTTTAGAAGAGGAAGGGAGACACAGCTAGACACTTGCTCTGTCTCCATATATGATGTCAAAGCAAGAAGGCCTCCCAATATGGGAGCAGATGGTGATGTCATGCTCTGTACTTCCCCGCCTCCACAACTACGAGTCAAATAAGCTTCTAGTCTTTATAAATTACCCAGTCTCAGGTATTTGATCATAGAAACAGAAAATGGACTAAGATACCTTGTATTGCCAGCAAAACAGAATTATTCAGCCAATGGCAAGGTGAAGTGTTACACTGTACTCTTCTCTCCTCATCTGAAGACTGTCACCTGCTTAGTGCAGGTGAGTCTGGGTTGTGATTTCCTGGGGTAGTGAATCCCTTACAATCTGGCTGCCACCTTCCTACCAGCCCCTCCTGATCCCATGATCTCCTCATGTGGCTTTGCTTTACCAAAAAGTGAAAAAGACACGCCTTAAGTGAGACTAAAGAATATGACATGGTGTGTCATAAGTACTAAAATGGGAGTCAGGAGACAAGGGTACTCTTAGCTGGCTGGGGGACTTCAGGCATGTCCTTTTACTTCCCTGGGAGCCAGGTGCTTATGGGAAAGTGAGAGGATCTATAGCATCTTCTGGAACCTCCGAAGGGCCCATGAAGAGGCACAGCAGAGTGCAGACAAAGCATTGAGCACTGTCACAGTTTGTGTCTGAAGTGTCCCCCAAAAGACTCATGTGGTAAAGGCTCGGTCCCCAGCTGTTGGATCCAATCCTTGAAAGGTGACTGGAGCATTAATTCATTGATAGATTCATAATTTGATAATATTACTGGGAGGTGGGGCCTTGTTGGAGGAAGAAGGTCACCAGGGCATGTCATTTAAGGGTGTCTTGTTCCCGGACTTTCTTGTCTGTCCTTTCTCTCTCCTTCCTGGCCATCGTGCCAGCTTTGTTCTATCACATACTCCTCGCCATGATGTTCGGCCTCCCTACAGGCCCACAGCGATGGAATCAGCTGACCATGGACTGAAACCTCTGAGTCCATGATCCAGAATAAATCCTTCTCTCTCCAGCTTCTTCAAGTATGATAAAAAGTTAACAAATACAAGAGCCATGCTGAAGTGGGCAGGTACTCAGTGAGTGACAGTGTTAATGCCATTGTCATTCTTGCTTCTTAGGTGTA